GGGGGACTTGAACCGGTGACCCTAGTTCCCAGGACAAGTCCCTACTCCCTACAGACTGAGCCCCTGCCGGACATAGATAGATATGTAAGTATATGTATATATTAGATATTAATTGCTACTCTGTAACATGAGTTTTTCAGGCTCACAATACCAATGTTCTTGTGTATGCATGAGCATCTCTATAAACCATTGCATACTATGATTATCTGTCAATATTCCTCCGGTGGCACCTTAATAGTGAATACAATGTGGAACTGTATTCCGTCTTTTACAGTGGAATCAAAGTGGTCCAGTATTGCCTGCAGGGCATGTCTGCCTTACAAAAGGAAATAGCTGGGAAGTCAACTCTCCGCTAACTTAATGATGCTTGTCTGTTAAATGCCAGCAGAGGAGTCTGATAACCAGGCAACAAAGACACAGCCCGCTTGCATCACAGTGGAATGACTCATTACATGGGGATCATTGCGAGCCTTTTGTAAGTGACGTCTTCACAAATGAGCTGTGAAGGATGACATCCCCTTTTTCCTCTCTCAGACTTTTTTTCAGAAAATGCTAATAAACAAAGATGTATTACATTCCTTTATTTGCTGTGGAACAGTTAGGGCTCAATGCTGATAAATGATGAAATTCATCTCTTTTCTCTTATTCTTTTCCACCCTCCAAAGGAAGCGCCTGCCCTGCATGGAAACAGTGATCAACCTGTTTCCCGTTACACATGACCCTTTTCTCCACTGCAAGGTTAGGGACACAACGCTCGGCCATGATAGATCTGAAGACATTCCGACCCCCCCCCCCAGAGCTGTTTACACTAACAGCTGTCGGTTTGATAAAGAAGAAGTGTCTTGTGGGATATGTGGTTTCTATGAATTGTGAAACCTTCATGCTAATTTTCCTCCCTCAACAACGGCACTGCCTTGGACTCTCCCCTTTAATATAAAAAGAGCGATCACTGCGGCTCAAACCTCATCCGTCTTTCTGACCCTGTGTTTGTTAATGGCGATTGTTGATAGTGTGTGTGTTAAGGCCCTGGAGCTGAATGTCTTTGGGGGGGTAACCACGGCTTGCATTTATTTGGAGAGGTCACCACACAGTCAGTGAGTTGAGGGACTCAAACACATGTTGCTAAAGGAATCACAGAGCGGTCAACTTCTGGGTGAGGTTAATCAGGTGTGCTGGCTTCATATACTTCAGAGTGCATTAGCATCCTACACTGCCTTATGGGACAACTCAGTGGCTGATTAAAGTTTTACATTATGTGGAGCATCCACAGCTGTTAATCTCTGTCTTTTCAGGCTGTTCTCATTGAGTGTTTGTACTTAAACCTACACAAAGTAATTCCCTATAATTCACATATAACTAACGTAGTTCTGAGATATATATACGTGACAGAACTCTGACCCTTAACACTCTTCAAATGTAGAATATTGCTCTTGCACAATGTTTCAAAATGTGGAAAAACGTATAGACCAGCCATGGACAGATACTGTTAGAGTTTCTCCCAGAGGCCAAAAAAGACAGTAAAGGTTAAAAAAGACTAGACTTAAATTTGTATCAGCCACATTTTCATGAAGGCTTTTTTCTTCTCATTTTGGAGTTTTCAGATCCATTTGAACGTCATGGGTGGCACCTTTAATTTTCCCATTACACAGAAACGTGCATCTACATATTTTGAGAGTCACAACTTAATGCACTTGTGTCTCCATGTGCGTTCTAGCTCTTGCATACGTGTGTTAACACTTTCCTCTTTACTATAGGTCAGCAGCCATACCGAAAGGTTGACCACACATTCCTGTATGTTTTCGAGGGTGCTTAGTTGCGGTGCGTGTGTGTGTGTGTGTGGTCACTTGATCTTGCAGCCTTAGATCCATGTTCACAAATCCTCACCAGGAAACATCATGTTAGCGTCTGCTTTCTTTTCGATCTGTGACTTTCTTCAGGAAACCAAAGGAATTACACTTAGTTTGTGAACCTGTCCCACTCACATCCTTTAATGGCACACACACACACACACGCCCACGCACGCACGCACGCATGCACGCACGCACGCACACACGCACGCACGCACGCACGCACGCACGCACGCACGCACGCACGCACGCACGCACGCACGCACGCACGCACACACACACACACACACACACACACACACACACACACACACACACACACACACACACACACACACACACACACTACCTTGTGTGGTTTTGCCACATGTTCAGCCAACATGTTTCCTATTAACATCAATTCAGCCGGCTGGTATTTAGTTGTTCAAAGATGTTTGCTCGACAGCCTCAAATCACACTGGATTACCCACAACCTCCAAGACCAAATCAGCCGGGCAGTTTGTTGTCCGACCTGGTTATGTTCTCTGTCTCCGCTGATTTGAGTTGAAGGCTGCTGTGTGCTTAGGGAAGCATTTTTTTGTGATTACTACTTCATTCAATATGAAGGAAGATTCATAGAAAATACTTTTGTTTTATATATTAAGATGACCGTTAGGACAGGTGTATAGTAGCAAGGTTTCTAACATAAGCTAAATCAAACAGTAGAGTCCAAGTTGAAAGTCACCTTGTCGCAAATGTCTCATTCATTTTAGCATCGCCATTGTCATACTGTTGGCCTCACAGACACGCTAGCATGGCTGTAGAGTCTTATTCCTGATATCAGACTTTGCCACTTGCTTGTTTATCATGACACTGTGTTTTTATTTTAAAAGTACAATGACAACCCCTGTGCCTGGCTTAAAAGTTAAACTCTCAGTCAGTGAGAGTCGATAAGTTCAACACCAACGATTTGATTTGAATGAAAAATGAATGAATGAAGAATTACCCATCATGTGTCTGATCAGCCAAAGAGTGACTGCATCATCTTTCAACCTTTATATGCTGACTGAAAGCACACATGACCTATTATTCTATACTATAATTAGTGTGCAGCATGCACCATTTCATCATATATCTTTTGCTGTCTCCTTTTACTGTGTGAGGTCCAGTTATCTCGTAAATGTTCTGTCAACATTTACTCTACTGCTTCATCTCTTCATATGACTCTTCATCATTCTGTGATTTTATAGTTCTCATTGGACGGCGTACAACGGATTTGGACTGCAGTGAGCCCACTGGCCTTATTTTATTAGTCACAACTGGCTTGTAAAATGTTGTCTAGATTTACCAAGAATATTTGTAACTGACCTGAGGCCTCTCTCTCTTGTTGTAAAAACCTTTGCTGAACTTGATCAGAGCGACTAGCAGTAAAAATACATATTGATACAAATTCTGTACATATGTCAGCCACCCCCACCATGGACTGGTCTCAGCTAAGAAAGCACAGTAAAGAAATCACATAATCATTCCTGAATGTGCCCAAAAGGCCCAAATATGCAACTCTCGCCCTTTAAACGGCTTGGTCCACGTCCAAAACGTGTCTCATGTTCCTCGTATATATCTACACACAGGTCAGAGGTAGAAGCTGTACCATGAAATTAATCTGCTCTACATAGTTCAACTTTATTAGGGCTGACAGTTTAATAACTCTATGGGCTCCCTGGTGCAGTGGACGAGTAATGAACCAGCACAAATGAATACTTTTCAAACCTCAGGTGTTAGACTATCAGACGGAGATGTTAATGGTCATTACATGTGCCTTTCCTCTTTTACAGGGAAATATTTGCGGGAAAAGGTTTCAGTTCTAAGGTGGAAAATGTCAAGTGATAGACCTGTTGAATTATTCATCAAGCCTCAAAGTGGAGATTCCTCCGCAAGGCAACACTGTTTGTTTGAGGATTTGGCCTGGTGATGCCTTTCAGTTTGAGCCGGATTATTTTGGTGAACCTACAAGAGGAAGTCTGCTCCCTTGTGTATCATTTCTCTTTTTGGAATGAGAGGTGCATGTGTAACTTATCCCACCTGTCTGGGTATGTGCAGCCATTTTTTATTACCATCAAAATGAGTATGTAACTTCTCATGACAGTTCTTGAAAGAGAGTTATATCTTCTGCCGGGTATTTTCCACATAAAAAATGCACTAATTGACACTCAAGTGTTACTATTAAACTAAATGACTCCCAGTATTGTGAAATTGTTCGCTGCTCACAGTGCTGAACCCACTAAGGACCAACACTCTCTTACCTGTTATAGGTCATTATTTGAAATTCAAGCCCCCACATTACAAACAAGTCATACCATGAATTTGCGCAGAAGCATCCTAATAGGTTGAGAAAAGATTGTGGTCTTGATTAATGATAATAAGCTGTACATAATCTTTCTCGTGCCTCAGGTCCCCTAGGTAACAAAGGGTGTGCCTAAAATACTAATACAAATTTAATTTAAGCTGTAATGACAAAGAGTTCATACAGTATTTCTTTTCGTGATGTTTCTTCAGTTTTTTCCAGTTTTTATTTTGGTTTAGCTTTTCCCTATTTGGAATTAAGACATTGTACACCCCATTGAGGCAAATGTGTGACATTGGGCTTTAAAAGGTGTTAAATTGACTTCAATTGGGAGCAAAAAAACAAAACAGTCACTGATGAAGAAACTCTAACATCATCCAACGAAGTGGGCAGGAGTGCGGTCGTCGTTCAATCGGAAAGTTCTGGGTTCGATCCCATCCCAACATGTGGATGTATCCTTGGATAAGATAGTTAACTCCCAGTTGCTCCTGATGACAAAGTCAGCTGTTCCTTGAACAAGTAAACATTGCTCTGAATGGGGTAAAATTGGGTGATTGGTAATGTAAGGCGCTTTGAGGGGTTATAAAGACTGAATAAAGCGCTATACTGTATACATACGGTCCATTTACCATTTACCAAGCTAAAGACCAGGATTCCTTGAGACAGTGAAATAATGGGTTGGACCAGTTAGGAATAATAAGAGGTCGTCGGCATAGAGAGATTGTGATTATCTGTGATCAGGATTATCAGGATGTTATTCTGTGAATTTGTTTGAAGACTTCTCTGCCCCATAATGTTGGTTTGAATGAATGAAAACGCAGACATGTAACTGATTTGACTTCATATGACTTTATTGAAAAAGGGCTTGAGTATCATAGCTAAAATACTGCCTCTCAGTTTACAAACAGTGACAATACAGAGAATAATACTCCAATAAATCTCACGAATATAAAGAACATATGTCAGAAGCTGCCTCAAAAGAAATATTTCACATTCTCTCGGGGTCCAAAGTGGAACACATGCACCCACTTTGATAATTAATGCACCATAGTTAAGTAAATGTGAACCAGATTGTGTATTTTGGTTCAAATAATACACACACAAACTTATTGAAAAGCTCTTTTTGCACAGTGATGAAGATGTCTTACTCATAATCACATTGAATATGTGGGGCCACAATACTAAACATGAAAGCACTTATAGTCTGATTAATATCACTAATGTTAAAAACAAGTTCTAACAGTGTGGTTAATAAAGTGTTTCCACATGTACTGTAATGCAATATCCTTCTCCTGTTATAGAGATAATAATCGCATATTAGATTAAAAAAGATTGAAGTTTAAAAAGTACACAACATTCTTTCAAAATATAACTCTATAGTTAATAAAGTAATTTGGTAATGGGTGGTGTTTTGTCCAGAAATTGCACAATGAATCAAATTAGAAGTTTATCATTGCATATCAGTGCATTTGGAAACTGGAACAGTGTTATTTTATACGGCAATGTGTTTAAACAAATGAGTATAATAATATAAAATCTCCATTACCTCCTATTACAATAATGGTAATTGAACTACATTTATTATTGCACCATTAGCTGCAAATTGATATGAGTATCACCTGTGATCAGGCACTCACAGCAAATAGACCCGAAAGAACAAAACAAAACAAAGAACAGAGAAATGACCAAAACCAACAGGGCTTACATTACAGTTTAAGAGGGGGGAAATGTTCGGTATGGCAGCAGTTGAGTGAAAGGGAAAAGAAAGCCCATGGGGAGCGGGGAGTGTCCAGATTGGAAGCACATGTCGGTCGCTTGAATTTCAACTGAAATTATATGTTCTGTTTTGGCTCAGTGGCCCTATTGTCACATAATTCATCAACCTCAGTAAATCTATAAAAATCAAATCAAGTGTTCAGGGGGTCGACCGGTGGGCTGAATGACTTCCTGACTCGTGTAACACAATGACAGTGGCTTTTTGTTTTCAATCGCTCTCAGTTGAACTTTATTCAGCTGTTACATAGCAGATCGGTTGATAAGGAAACGGAGAACAACAAACCAGGAGGACGATATGTGATTTCTTTGCTAATTATTTTTATCCACATTGTAAAAAATATTAGAAATTGTATTTTAGTCTCTCATACTGTGTAGTAACATCAATATACCTTTATGAATTATTGCCTAAAACCTTAAAAAATATGTTTAACACTGGTTCTTGCACTGGACTAGCCTTCATTAAGTAGCTACTGCCTACTGTACATTGTATTCAAATAGCATTTAGTAAGATTATACACAATATAAAAATAAAACAATTACATTTAAAAGAGACATCTGATAATAAAGTGGCTCAAATACATATATAGAAAACATGATCAAACACTTTCTTTTGCCAACGTGAACTTTCCCTTTCTGACATTTATCATTCGGCCGACCATTTATAAGCTTCCCATTTCCTACCAAGGACAGGTGTTGGTATGGAAATACTGCTGTGGTATGCTCGTTGGCATTTATACATCTAACTAAAGTCCATTTGATAAGGTGTAAAAACAATTATGACAATCTTTCTAATAATAAAATGAAATAGATGGCCATGCTTTTTGAGGTTCACAGGTTTCTTCATGTTGCACGTTTTACTGTCTTTAAATATTTGGTCTCTGTTAAATGATATGTTCAAAAACAAAAAAGCTGCATTCATAAGTATTAGTTGTATAGTCTTTAACAGTAGATTATGGCCTGAGCACAACATCAGCTTTCCATTTCATGTGCCTCGTCAGACTCCAACGACAGCACGTTGTGATGGTAAAAAAGACATAGAGGTCACAACATCCCATCATAAATCTTGCATAAAACAAACAGTGAAATATAATTATATCTATGGCTTCGGCCCCCGTCATATGGAATATATAGCACCACAAGATCAGTGCTTGTTTTTAGGCAGCGTGTGTGAGCGTCCATGGTGGAGGAAGCTGGAAGACTTTAAAGACTCTGTTGGCCTGCACGGCCTGCCCTGATTGGTCAGTAAGAGTGAAGGCTTAACGCTATTGGCAAGCGTCTGTTACTGCCCCATGACCTTCTAGCCATGGAGTAATGCCACTTTCACTTCAGAGGAAACTTTTACATTTCAGTCTGGGATAGTCCATTGAAATAGTATTTAGTCCTTTTGAAAAGTGGTATACACGGGAGGTGTTTGTATAATTAATAAGACATAACCAGCCAACAAAATCCCAAATGTAATTCCTTCTGGAAGACTGATGTGAATGTTTTTATCTGACGTGACAAAGGTGGCATTAAGAACAACGTGTTTTGAGGCAAAAAGCTCAAATAGTTTCACTTTGTGTGAAATAAGAAAATACTAAATGACACAATCAGTTAGTTAATATGTTGCACATTCAAACACACGCGCGTGCTCTCTATCCCGTCACTGGAGGTATAATGGCACATGGTGCTAACATTGAGAGTCTAGGGTGGGTGTGGGGGGGGTCGGTGGCGGTGCTGGGGGGCACAGTCTGGGGATGAAGGGCTGGTTTTGCAAGCGGTCCAGACAGGTGGACGGGTACATACAGCGTGTTTGGATACATCCATAGCAGTGAGGGAGGTATACAGGTTCCACCCGGGGGGGGGGCCAGGCCTGACGACCTGCACGTCTTCCCTTGTGTTTAGTTTTTCTTGCCATTGCGTCTTCTAGATTTCTTCACCCTGGAGAGAGACACAGAAAAAATTGTTTATTAGCCTGCAAAGAGAAAAAGGTTGTTGCTTCTAAATGTTTTGAACAGATAAAGCATTGTTGAGGAACCTTTTCCGATTTTCATTCATTACATACCTACACCATACTTGTGTATATGATATGAAATTAAACCTTTTTAATCTTGAGGCGAGATGGAGATAACATAGATATTTCATGCACTGAGAGTTTGAGAAATGTTACTTCATTAACAATCCCTTCTTTCAGACTACCAATTCTTACAGTCGTTATTTCCCCTCAAACAACTCCATACCTACTTGTGTGAACTACATAAATGTAGCACCTCCAGCACTTGACAAAATGTTGTGGTTTATATCAATAGAATTGCTAGGAGATGAAAAGAGGGTTTTTTCGAAGAAGGGTCATTGACATGATCGGGGCCTCAGGTGTCCGCCAACAGTTTTGAAAGGTGAACATCACAGCATACCGTATGATTTACAGAATATGTAACTGTAACCGAACATGAAAAAGGGCGATGCTGACGAAGAGCAGACAGGAGACTGCAATACCCGACTCCTATCATGATCAGTGAAAAGCACATTTTCTCTTCCAACGATGAACTCTGTATGTTCCCTTTTGTCATTTTGACATGTTAGCTGTATGAAACACCTCATTGAATAAGCTCATAATGCCGCAAGCTTAAACAAGGCCTATTTATCCGACACACTTTTTGCTTAACAATTACGATCTAAACACAGTATGTGTATGTGCCACAAGCATTCTTCAATAAGCCATTATTTGAGGGCTTCTGTTTTCATTAATAGTCGTAAGTAAACATGTTTTTAATCCTCAGAAATTACTTTATTGTTTGTTTTTATGTTGTGCTTAAAGTGTTTATGGTGCTTTAAGAAGCAGACATGCAGCCTGTCGTTAACCACCACCAGACATGTTGGGATTTTTTTTTTATGAGGAATGCACACATTTTAACCGAATAGCTCATTAAAAACTGAATGAGCTGCTGCAGTTTTTACTATGAATAGTTTTACGCATAACGCTGCACCCCTACCAGAACAACTCTGCGTCTAATGTGCCAATAGTGATGATTGTTTTGTGGAAAAAGTGGACAAACACATGATGTGAGCTGTGAGGAAGCCGAGAGGGTACAATGGTACAACTCCTCTGAAGTCACAGAAACAAGCGTATGAGAAAGAAAGTCAGACAAAAAGCAGAAATACCAGTGGCAGATTAGTCACTTATCTCTCTTAAGGCTCACAGATAATAACTCTGCTGCTTGCATCAACCATGTCATTGATTTCACAGAGTAATTGTCGGCGGGAAACTGAGAGATTACCATTTGTAACAATGGATTGTTTCTTCCTCTACGCTCAGCAGAGAAGAGAGCAGTATTTCATTTCTGTCTCTTGTCACTGATGCTTGTTCCTGTACGATGGAAGAGAGAGAGCTTTTTCTTTTCTTACTTGTTAATGGCGTTCTTTAAGTACTGCTGCAGCCACTTGGTCTCCGGGTTGATGCAAACTTCCCTGTTGTTCTTCAGCTTGGCACTGTGGGAGGAAACAAGTAGAATTTGAGGGATGAGACGCCACATCCACACTCACATGTCATAAATCTGGTTAAAGGACATTTACTGGAGAATATTGTCACCCGGGGGCTTCCTTTGTAGCAGAACATCCAGTGATGGTGTACAGTACAGAGATTGTATCTATTGTATTAGCTTTGTAATAAGTGTAATAAGACCTCCCAGTAGTCTCATCCCTTAAACGCTCTTTCAAGTACGTTAATTGTGTCTAGCTTCTTGGGTTGTACTTCCTAGGACCACACAGGTGGTTTTGCATGTTTAGCTCAGTAGCTTCGATTAAATGTGTAAATAAAGTCTAATAATATTACTACAAGATTTTATATTTGAAATGACGGTTGACTATTTTCATATTTAAAAAAGATGTAGGCCCCTATAAGACAAAATTGAAGTTATAGCCCACATTGATTAATATTTGAGAATATTGGTATTATTGAAAGCATGCTGATTTTGCTATGAGCAGTTCCTGTTTTAAATGTGCCATGTCTGTACAGAAAACTATCACTGGTTTACTGTATTACTAAATACACTGAACTGAATTTAGGCATCCTATGGTGTCTATATTAAGATAATTATATCCTCTGAGAGTATAAGTAATACTATATCTCAAATGTGTGTGTTACATGTCTGAGTTTTAAGATTTGACTGAGTTTTGACATTAAAATGTTGTTATAGCATAAGAATGTGGGAATGCTGACACTCATTTTGGCAATTAGGTGGCTTTTAATTTTATTTAATCTTTGTCTCACATTTCTAATCTCTGCAAGGTGATGCATCAAGTGCTGAAATTATAAAAAAATGAATGGCATCTTGCAACATGGGAAAGTTCCGGTCATTGTAAACCTCTACATAACATAATGGTAGGAAGAAATGTACAATATAGGCAATTTGCAGTTAGCCAACCCAAACACACAAACCACTGTTATGGTCTGTTAAACTAAATGGCTGTAACTAACATTTATTATTCCCTAAATCGTTATAAATGGTAATACTGTGAGCTGAGTTTGTGATCTGAAGATTACAGATTTTTCGTAGGTAATAAATGACAATAATTATTTATCTTTCATGAAATCCCACTTCATTAAAAGCTCAACTTTATTTAAAAAAAATGCAGACATCCTACAACAAACGCCAGTTAAAACCAGAGTATTGACAAACTGTCACCTTAATGTTCACAGATGTCAGCATTTTAAAGAAATCAAAAAAAGGAACCCAGATTCCTTCAGTTTGCTCCTATAATAACATATCATTAAAACATCTACTCTCTTTACGGTCCATCTCCTGAATAAATCACAGCACCTTGGTGTATAAACGAGCCCAATATGTCAGGATAACATCTCATGAGGTTTCTGAAAGCTGAGCTCACAAACACCTCAGCTAAGCTCTAAAGACCTCAGCACGTCCTACGACACATCCAAGTTGAAAAGTGGAGGATTACTGCACAAAACAGGCCGTCACTCTCCGGTCTGTGGTGAAAAATCACCGCTCTCAGTTTCCACTCATGGACAGCTGGAGGCGAGGCTCACTGTGTGGACGGTGTGAAGCTGCCTCTACACCACACACCCAACCTCTCAAACCACAGTCTAATGGAACATTTGTCAGGCTGGTTTAAGACATGAGCTTTAATATTATAATGATTACGGGACTCATATTGTTTCAGACATTGTTTTCCCTGTATACAATTATTTTAGGATGCTGAAAAAAGACGGAATCTCTCAACAGATATGTTAAATGAAAAGGAAACAATTTATTTAATGAGACATTTTTTGAGAATCTCTGTCATGGGAATATTGAGGAGCTATTTTATTTGTATTATAGAATTAAATGTTGTGATAATTATATTATACAATTGTTTTTGTGCAAGATTCTTTGATACGCTGCATATCTTAATTTTAATTAGAGTTTCCTGGTCAAAAAACAGTCCAACAAATACAAAGTACTTAAAGGAAGTGTTGTTTTTTAACTTTCTCGATCACTCTTTGGTATAATGAAATAGAAATGAAAAAAGTCTGATTTGTCAAGCATTTTTGTTTTAAAGAAAATCTAAAAAGAGGAACTGCTTTTTGACAGCTTGTTACAAGAAAGTATGCAGCTTAAAAACGGACTAATCTCCTTGTTACCTCTATTAAACAGTAAAACCATAGTTTGTTCCTCCAAAGATTGGATATTAAAGTCAGATGTTGCTTGTTTGTCAGGATCTCATTTGCAGCATAAGGCAGAATCAGGACGGACTTGAGCACAATCCCACTTTGTGATGAACAGGGAGTGTGTGTTCCTTTGAGTGATGACTGACGTGTTGATGGAGAGGTGAGCCAAATATTTAGGAGAGGATTTGTTCTGTTATCAGGGAGGGTTGGGGGGCGATCGGAGTGACGGGCAGCGGGGTCTCAACCCCCCTCCAAACATGTGGATCTCACACCCCGGTGGCAAAAGATCGTGTTTGAGAGTTAACGGCTGCAGAGGTGTCTGCTCCGCTCTCTCCTCCCACCATCTCTCCATCACACGGCTCTACATTCAACACATTCCTCTCTGCTGCCTTTTCACTGCTTTCTGATTCAATTTGAACCCCAACCCTTTTAATATGCCACCTCCCTTATTCCTCACCCCATTTAGCAAATGAACAAATGGCCTCTAAACTTAAGAGAGCAGTTTAGGACCATCAATCCAAAGCTCTGAAAATGTGAGCCGGGAGGCCAAACAGCTCAGTAACTGGATCTGTGTTTGCTTTTCCTCCAGGGATGTCCCCCTTCTCCCCCCTCCTCTTTCATTTGATTTGCTCATCCGCTCAGGAGCTGGTGCTGTTTTGATGTCCTTCATCCTGTTTGTCTGTCTGCTTGTCTGGATGACCAACCGAGAGCAGAAACCTTAATTGACTTGGCTGGAATTTGAGGGCCGGAGTTCCCCAAGCAGCAGGTAGTAATTACTTCACAGCAAGTTAAAACCAACAGCATGCTGGGACAGGGAGGGCGGGAGGATGAGGGTGCACGGTGTGACACAGGGCGGAGGTGGGGGGGGGGCAGAGGGTATCGTGTTGCCAGCTTTCTTTCATCTGCCTCAAAAGAGATATCGGAGCAACTCTGCCGGCTCAATGACTTCTTGACTCTTTTCTAAAAGAGGGGTGAGGGTGAGTTTGTGTCGGAGCGCCGTGTGTCCTCTCTGACCTTTTGCCATCCCCTCACCCCTTCTAACAGTCATAACTCCCCTCCCTTTCTGGCAGAAGCCCCACAGCCTTTTAGCCTTTTGGCTTCGAGGCTTCTGCTGTCCGGCTTTCTATAGCAGATAAATGAATGAGGGTTTTTGGTTAATGTGTTCCAGACTGGTGACATTATGCTTAATGTTGCTGGGCAGTTTGAGGTGGGAAATGAATATAAAAAGTGGAAAAGGGACACAGAGGGTCAGCAGAAATACAAAGGTAATCACTTTGACCCTTAATTATTGCTTCCTTTGCTAAACATATGAGGCTCCCTCCGGCAGTCACCGCTTTCCTCTTTGTGAGAGGGTGGTGTTGTTTTTAACTCAGGCGACTCATTAGGGAGAGAATAGGAGGATATTAACACCGTCCACTCTCACATCCACTCTCAATCTGTCAACACTGTTTGGGTCAAGTAGTGTAGTATTACTTTTTTTTTTTTTAAACATACCAAATAATGGTAAAATGTTACGGAGCTAAAAAGTAAAAAGCCCCATCAGAAATAATGATTCTGAAGCACTGGGTCTGTATCAAGGGTCAGACGAGACAGACCTTAAAAGGTGGGATTGTCAATAATAATCTATTACAAATAAACCATAGCTGATTTTTTCAGTGCTTTTGAGGTAACACATTTATGGTAAGCACAGCAATGTATGTACTATATATTTAGAGGCTCACAACAACAACGGAAAAAAATCGATAAAATGCACTGCAATGGTGTTTCACCGATATATGATATATATGGCTCACTAATTTAAGCACATGTTGAAGTAAAACTGTTACTTGATTATTGAAACGTGCTTCCCTTAAATCTTCTTTTTTTACAATGTAGGTGCATAAAGATTGAGTGCAAAGTTTTTTCATTATTGTTATTTGTTTTAATTAGATTGGTATTGGATGTTATTTTCATCACAATAATGTATTAATCAATTTCTATAGGCCCAACACTTTAATAGACTTAAACATATCCTATATGTAAAAATGCTTTAGTCGATATTTAATTAAGATTACAAATATGTCTATGGCTGAAGGATTGATAAAGCAAACCTTTCAACAATCCGAAAAAGCATTTCCTCAAGTGAATCACCACAATCTTTGGCTCTCGTTCACTTACATGACTTGGAAGGGGCAGTTGGGTGTGTGGAGGAACTTGAGCTCTTTGATGGAGCGCTGAGGAACCGTGTTGAGGGTCGACCGACACCAGCACCGCTCCACCAGACTGATGGGCTTCGCTGCAAACACACAACAAGAAACATTACAAATTAACATTCCTGCTGGTAGAAGAAGTGATACACACACCTACAAATACACTGAATAGGCATATTAGCAGTTTTAAAAAGTAAGGTGAAATAAGTCACTATGATTGACTTTATTTCGTTATAAATTTGTATAGATTTTGTAGATAATCCACACACATTCACACACATGCACGTACATTCATATGCTGTATTATTTGTTTATGTGGCATGATGCTACTTTTAATATTAAAACAACACTGCTAAAGGTTTTGATCACATCAATAATTTGAGCCTTCTTAAAGTAAAATGCTAAATCTTTGCTGAGAGTGGTTCGTGGAGAAGGGGTCGTTTAGGTTCGTACGAGGATTTAAATATTAGCTTCAAGTAAAATGAATATCCAAATCCTAACACAGTAGCTTTTACTTTATTTCACTTGTGATTAAATGCATCACTTCCCTCAGCGGACAAATTAAAAGCATGTTTGATCTTCTGTAACAAGCCTTAACAAAGCATGGGCACGTATGAGTTTACCTTCTATTGCTCTGAACAACATGTTCATTAAAAAGAGATTAGCCCCTTCGGACCACTCACACACACACACACACACACACACACACACACACACACACACACACACACACACACACACACACACACACACACACACACACACACACACACACACACACACACACACACACACACACACACACACACACACTTTTAGCTTTTCACTCCTGGAGCTTTCAGACGGACCACTCTGAAGGAGAAGGGTCCTCCACATTCAATCTCCAATATTTGTCCCTTTTATGAAAAAGCACTCTGCGGCTCAGACGCCGTCAACAGCCTCTGAGGAAATCACTTCAAGAACATTCTTAAAATGATTACAAATCACCCTTGGACCTCTATGGAGGTCTGTGTGGGGCCAGAGACCCTCAGATGCACGCTGATAAATCCAAGAACATGCAATTAGGAAGTAGTTTTGTACTAATATGCCTTTTTGAAAGAGATTTCCAAGTTAAGTAGGGATGATTGTTCCAATGCGGGGAAAAAATGAAGAGAAATACACTGTGTAAAACTTTAAAATTGGACTCCATCCTTAAAACCAAAATGCTGCAAGTGCTTTCCTCCTTTGACGGACTACAAATGGTTTAAAAGCTTCATTTTGGCTGCGGATCGTGTTAAGAAATTGTTACAAAAGGTCACAGAGCAGATGTTGATTTTTCAACAACTCCTTCTTAGTACCATTCCTGTCAAGATAAACACGTATTAATTAAATTAAGTGCATCACGTGTAACTTACAGACCTTTGTTCTAGGGTTCAACATATTCCTATTGATATGCAAGCTTCTAACCAAATGTCCTGCCACAAATGGCTAAGTCCTTCAGTAATATCAGCCTAATGACTCACACCCATTCAGGGTCTTTTCTCATGCAAACTAAGGGATCATTATGCAGCATGCAGCCCCACGGCCAGAAGCGAGCATCCACAGCTATCACCACTGTTTATCCCTAATTAGAAGCTAATTAAAAGAAAGCAAAGGGGAAAAGACAAATACACACATTTAGAGCTAACTCTTTAATATGCAATCAGGGGTCTTACTGGGGCCGTAACAACAAGCTTAGCATAACGCAGGCCAGGCGCCTCAACAACACGGGGTGTCTCTAGCCAAGGTTAACATGTGGGGCTCACTGTGGAAACTGCACTCCTCCTGTGGCTTTAAGTAAAAAATACTGAATATAATTACTGGAACATTTACAAACTGATCAAGCTCTAATTTTAACAATGAAATAAATCCCAAAAGGTTACATCAAGCTGCAACAATCAACTTATTAAAGTCAACATGTTGTAATGTAACATCTGTACCAACAATAAAGAGATTATTTAACGATAAACAATTATTTTTATTATTGATTAATGAGCTGATTAAGTTCCAAACTAATTGTTCTAAAATCCAAAGTTGTCTTTTTGCTGTCACAGAAAATGTTATATGATAAATGTATCTAGGATAAACACTCAGCAGCAAACATCTTTGAAAAGTAGAACAATTGTGACTTTTCTACACTTTTCCTTAAAACATGGCTTACACAATCAATCAAGTCTCAACATATTTGCAGATTAGTTTTCTGTGAATTGACCTATCGTTAAAGGTAACTAATAGTGTTTGCTCTTCAATACAAGTAACTTGTGGATATAACCTGTATATGTTTTGGAGTAAAAGTCAACTTTCTGGGAACTATTATTCCACGAGATCAACATTAAATCAAAGCAGGATATCAAAGAGCTTTAGTTTAACAGCCACAAGTGCAACAAGATATTTGTTAAAAAGGTATCTTTCTCCTCTGGAATAAATAAAAACCATCATCAAACCATCAAACTAAAATTCAGGTGTATACAAACTGACGAAAAGCCACCACCAATATCTAGAGATGAGCTGGAAATGTGATGCAAACAGTTGTGATTTTCATTGGATTTAGACACAGATTTTTTAAATAGACTAAATCCAGATTTTTCTTATCAGCCAAGATTAAAATAATAAAAATGAGATAAACCTCAACATTCAAACATCAGTTGAATCAGTTGAAACCCTCAAACCAACAATTTCTCTGCTCCATTAAAAGTTTCCGCAGCGTTATAAAGTCTCTGCTGGACTCACCGTTGGAGGCTGGTACTTGTGTGGCCACGGCCAGCAGAGCCATCAGAGCCAGCAGCTTGACGTCCATGGTGGGGGGCTAACAGGCTGAGGGGGGGCTCTCTCTGCTACAATCCAGGAGCAACAGTGACTGCCAGCTCTGCTCTGCACTGTGTTAAATCCTCACAAGGGAGAGAGAGAGCGAGAGGGAGAGTGAGGAGGGAGGGAGAGGGAGTCCCACTTTCTCAGGAGGGAGGGGGGGGGTCCCAGCATGAGAGGAGGGGGGGGGGGAGAGAGAGGGAGCAGCAGCAAGTCGGGAGAGACTTCCTCGATTGTAAATGTGTTGGCTGGGAGTCAAGGAGAGAGTCTGAGTGGAAACCGTCCTCTTTTTTCGTTCTCATTCTTTTTTCGCCTCCATTTTTAAGTTGTTCTAAGTTGTCTTTATTTTTTCAGATGTTTGTATATTTTATCGTCTTTGTCCTTTTCCCCCCTCTTCCATTTTCTGTGCCTTTTTCTAGCCACCTGCCACTTTCATAGACAAAACAACAACACACACACACACACACACACACACACACACACACACACACACACACACACACACACACACACACACACACACACACACACACACACACACACACACACACACACACACACACACACACACAGTCCTCGCTCACAGACTATTTTCAGAGCCAGTGCTCCCTGCTGGTGCGCTAATATTGTTGTTTGTTTATTGTTTTGTTTAAAGGGAGACTGCTTTTTCTCCTTTTTGTCCTCCTATTTCTTCCCACTTGTCATCTGGCTCGGCTCCCGTCCCTGACTGGCCAATTGTGTCCGTAAAACGAGAATGGGGGAAGCTGTGTTGAGTAATCTGATTTTAAAGAGGTTTGATTTCTCCCAGCTTCAAATGGCATATGTCAAATCAAATTCAAAAGGATGTAAAAGAAAACATGTTTTACAAGTCGGTGACTGTAGAATAAATTATATTTTTTGGAAACCTTATCCAGATGTGAAGTCCCTATACAAAAAGAAAATGTTTGAGTCTGATTACTTCAAATATTGGCAACTAAAAGTGACTAACAGGGAGGTTTTTTTCTGGCCACCATGACAATGTTTAGACTTTATTTTGTAAATGTAGGTTTCTTACAAAGATTCCTTATGGACCACTCATGTAACTGACACATTATATAAATAAGTATGCAAATGAAATTGTTTAGCGGTAGACATTAAGGCTGGAAATAAATATAAAACAAATTATAAGGGCATGGGACATACCTATAATTTCAGATTTAATTTAAGAAGCAGTGGTGATTTTGCCTTACATGAAAATCAGATTTCTTAGATGATATCCTGGTGGAGATGTGAGTGTGTCTTTCAGTAATTGATGTAAGTTCTCACATGTTTGTTCAGTACTAACTCTCCCTGATGATTTGATGTATGGAGTAAAACAAATGCTAAACAATGTAAAAGGACACAGATGTGTGTTTACATGCGAGTGTGTACATGTTTGTACATGTTTGTGTGTGTGTGTGTGTGTGTGTGTGTGTGTGTGTGTGTGTGTGTGTGTGTGTGTGTGTGTGTGTGTGTGTGTGTGTGTTTCTGAAAACATGAATGCAATTATGCATGTTTTTGTCTCGCTTCCCTTCGTTCTGCTGCATAGAATCCAGCAGCTGCTGAACTGGAACGGGTCATCATGCCAGAACGTTACGCCGTCCCTGTCAGAGCTGTTGGAGGTGATTCTACCCCCCCTCTGCAGCCTCTGCCACTAACTCCAAGACATACAGTAAAACTCCTCCCATGCAGTTCACTGGGCCGTTGCATGGTTCCTAATGTAAGCTGTAAACCTGGGAGGGTGTTAACTGTGAGCAAGTGCCCAGTATAAGTGCCGTTAACAGTGAGGAGATACAATTTAAACGTGAAGAGACAAACATCAAATCATCTCAGAGAGATTTGCACGGTTTTGTTTTTACAAATACATTTATTTTTATTACATTTCTGAGAGAAAAAGCATGTGTTGAATATGACACAATGCAACCTCTTTAACCAGAACGTTTTGGACGAAGGACTGTCCACAAGGACGCTGTTTCCTAATGTATTTCTTTCAATGTTATTTATTACTGTTGTGAACATCACAAACCTAATAACACCTCTGTAACATGAGGGTTAAAAACTAAATTGACAACTTTCACAATTAAAACCAAACCAACCTCTCTTCTGCAACAAGTATCTTTAAGGAAAAAGTATGTTTATTGCGTATTTTCAGTCAACTGATTTAAAGGGGACCTATCATGCAAAATGCACTTTTGTACGTCTTTTATACATGAATATGTGTCCCCGGTGTTCCAGGGAACTCACCAAGTGTCAGAAAACACAACCCTCTCTATTTTCCTCCATACCCAAATCTCTAGATTTGAACACTGTCCTGACGTCAGGACGGTGGTGCTACGGCTATTGGGCCAACTCTCCACCTATCAGGGGAATGTGGGGTTGGGCCACGGCCGGCCATTGCCGCTCGAAAGCGCTGGAGTACATATGCCAGGCCTGTAAGTGGCGCTGTAGTCTGCCACAAAAGCAGCGAAGAAGACTTCCCGCGCATGGTTACCATGGTTACCCTTCTGTTTATTCTCCGCTGTGGCTTTTTTTCTCCCTCCCCGAGGCAAGCGTTTGCTCCTGCTGCTTTAATTCAATGCAATCCCTCCCCGTCGAGGCAAGCACTGTAATTCTCTCCGGTTAGTCCACCAGCAGATGACAAACACCCACCTCTCCGCCTCTTCCAAGGAACGAGGGGACCGTGTGGCAGAGTTTCAGTTAGGTTTTCTTTCGCCGGTCAAGATGTCCGTTAAAGTTGAAATCTTCCGGACAAAATTAGAAAAGTGCCGGTCAAAGGTCTTCTTTGTTATTTATTGAGCTTTAAAACAAATGAATAACGACTCTATATAATAATAATAATAGGCTATAATAAAACACGGAGGACGGAGATCTATTTTTCTCCCCCTCTTCTGACTTGATCAGAGCACGCTATCCTCTCCTGCAGGGGGGCGTGGTCAGCTGCAGCTCACAGAATCAGCCCCCTGCAAAAACAGGGCTGGAGAACAGCAAATAGAGCGAAATGAGGCATGGCTAAAATGCATGATCTGTTTGGTATTTTGAAAACAGAAACGTATAAATATACCTTATATAGGTATGGCCCTACAATATATCATTTAAATATAGCATGATAGGTCCACTTTAATTTAATCATTTCAGTATTCAATTGGATTAAAATGGACCACAGGCCAATTTCTTTAAGAGTCGGCTGCCAAACAGATGTGGGTTTTTTCAGTTTTTAAATGATTGAACACAGTGCCTGACAGTGAAGCTCAACTTTGCTTTGCGCTCCACACCCTCAACATACAATGTTTGGATTTCCTCCATGGATGTAGTGTTTCTATGATGAGGTGTTTGGCAGCGTAAAAAAAGTCTGTATTATGTTTCATGCAAACACTAACATTTACAAGTTAGCTCAGATAAAGCTCAAACTCCCATACTACCTTAAACCTTGTCAATCTTATCATCACAGCGCTGAGAGTAGTATTTACCGAGTCACAAAAACAAATGTCACAAGTGTTTTAGCCGCTCCAGCGCTAACACGCCACAGGACCGCGTCTGAGACGGCGGCCGGGAATGTGTTGGCACGTTCAACGCTGACCTGTGGGACAACACTGCCACTTGTATCACACGTGGGGTCAAAGGTCAGTGTTTCATGTCCCCGTATAGGGTTACCGCCTGCCAGGTCTTTGTTCTGGCCCAGCCCTGATAGACGAGCTCGCACAAATGGCTGCAATGATGAAGGACGTGATGGAGAGCAGACGGGTATTTGGTCTGGGTGGATGGTTAGCATTAGGTACACACATGCAGTAATCATCTAATTTCAATTAAGAAACTGATTACATAATTGTTATCATGTGCAATAAACGCCTTCATTTCCTCTGTCAATGTAATTATCTTGTCACATAAAACCTCGATCACAACAGAAAGAAAAAGGTTCTGGTTAATATTAAAGATATTTTGAAAAGAGTTGAAAATCATTCCAATATAGTTTTTTTTACCTCTTTCAAACCTGCTGTTTTCCTTCCAAATTCCTTAAAAAAACATGTTTTTTTCGTGAATTCGTTAAGAAAATAATTGTCTTACAAGTAAAGTTTCACCCATTTTAAAACCCTAATAAAATAATATACATTTACACCCACATTTATTCATTTACACGCACTCTGTCCACTTCAATAACCATCTTTCATCAGCAGGTGTGTCATAGCACTTAAACCAAACCCACACAAACACATTAATAACGTCTCGTATACCCTTCCATGTATAAATGACCCCCAAATAAACACAGACTAATCTTTTGGGTAATCTCTCATCTGACGGCAGATCCCCACTTTCCTGTTGGGATCTATGTGAGGAGATTTGCTTTGTGGGCTAGAGTTTATTGTGTTTGTCCAACAGTTTGAGTCTGGTGCTGAGTCTGATTTTATGGTGGCAGAGCAGATGAAAGGTTTCCCTCCACTGGGCTTAGATAAACAGTAGTTCACAATCACAGCCGGGGCAGTATGAGGCTCGCAGTGTGCCATGTAAACACACATTAATCAACATGTGGAACAATTCTCAAGAGCACCAAATGCATCGGCTGGATCATAAAAAGGGAGAGTGGTGAGTAAAAGCTATGGCTGCTAAATCCACTTCATGCTGGGCCACGTTACAGTAAAAGATTTACAGTCTAATGAGGAGGGATTTAACAATTAAGTGATTTAAATTAAGTGTGTGTGTGTGTGTGTGTGTGTGTGTGTGTGTGTGTGTGTGTGTGTGTGTGTGTGTGTGTGTGTGTGTGTGTGTGTGTGTGTGTGTGTGTGTGTGTGTGTGTGTGTGTGTGTGTGTTTTTTTTGCTGGTGATTTGGAGCAGGAGGTTTTGGGGGTTTAAGGTGTGTGTGTGTGGGGGGGATGGGTGTCTGATGTGTGTGTGATTGGTTTTTGTGGGGTGTCCCTGTTATCAGTTAGCACGTTTTCCCTGAGCCTCAGCAGCTGGCTTCTTAAGGGAAACACACACACACACACACACACACACACACACACACACACACACACACACACACACAC